TGAGGCAGGAGAATGGCGTGAACCCGGGAGGCGGAGCTTGCAGTGAGCTGAGATCCGGCCACTGCACTCCAGCCTGGGCGACAGAGCGAGACCCCGTCTCAAAAACAAAAACAAAACAAAACAAAACAAAATTTTTTTTTCTCCTAAGAATGGTCACTGAGGGAAAACAAAGAAAAAGAAAAACAAAGTTATTTTTCTAAATGCAGCATGATATCCCGAATTGGTTTCTAGAACAGAAACAGGACGTTAGTGAAAAAACTGGTAAAATCCAAATAAAGCCTGTAGTTAATAGTATTGCACTAGTTTTGACAAATATACCAAAGTTACTATAAGATATTAATGTTAGGGAAAGCTAGGTGAAGGGCATATGGGAATATGCACTATCTTTGCAACTTGCCTGTAAATCTACAATTTTTCCAAAATACAAAGTTTATAATAAAAATTTTTAAATTTTGACCCTAACTAACCATCCCAATATGTACTTCCCTCATACAGTGATAGCCACTATAATTAGTTTGATTATCCTTTTGAGACCTTTTAAATATACTTTTAATGTATTCATAGAAAATATATAATATTGTTAAATTATATATATTTTTTCTTTTTCCAAATGTATGTATTCTAAAAATTACATTTGTAATATCATTTTCATGGTATTGTGCCATGTGTCATTCTGTAGTTTTTTTACCGTCTTTTTTGAGATCTGGCCATGTTGATTGATTGAAATAGATAGATAGAATTCAGTGTTTCATTTCTTTTTACTGTTGAATAGTATCAATTTTATATCATTATTTATAAATTCACCCATTTGGGAGCATTTAAATTGTTTGTAAATTTTTACTTTGACAAATAATGCTGCAGTGAACGTCCTGAGCATGTTTACATAAATTTACAAGTTTTTTTCTAGGACAGATGCCTAAAATGTGGAATTGCTGGATCGTAGAATATGTACATTTAAAGTTTTTAAAGCGTACCAAATACTCTCCAAATAAATTGAATTGGGACGGTATACAGTGACTCACACCTGTAATACCAGCACTTTGGGAGCCCGAGGCGGGTGGATGACCTGAGGTTAGGAGTTCAAGACCAGCCTGGCCAATATGGCGAAACCCCATCTCTACTAAAAATAGAAAAATTAGCCAGGCGTGGTGGCACGTGCCTGTAGTCCCAGCTACTCTGGAGGCTGAGGCACGAGAATAGTTTGAACCTGGGAGGCGAAGGCTGCAGTGAGCTGCAATCGTGTCAGTACGCTCCAGCTTAGGTGACAGAGCAAGACACTGTGTTAAAAAAAATTAAAAAATAAAAAGAAATTATACTGGTTTATATATATTAGAGTTCCTATTTTCCAAATGCCTCCAACTCAGTACAGAAGCAAGCATCTAGATTTTTGCTAATCTGATATATAGAAATAGCCTATCACTTGTTTTAGTTGGCATTTTATCTAAGAGCAAAGTTGAGACACTTTTCATATGTTTAAAAATGATTTCTTTCCTTTTCTGTAAACTGTTTATGCCTTTTCCCCATTTTTCTATTGAATTGTGGGTCATTTTGTTACTAGTTTGTAAGAATTTTGTATATATTAAAAATACTGGCCCTTTGGACGTTTATAATGGCTGTAATTTTTTTTAGAGTTTATAGTTTGTCTTTTGACTCTTTCTGTCGTTTTTGACATATGGGATTTTAAAGTATTTTAAGGGTCAAATATAACTTTCTTACCTTTTAATGGCTTCGAGTTTGTCATGCTCAGAAAGACCTTTTCTACACCAAAATTTATAGTTTTAGAATTCTCTCGTATTATTTCATTTTTTTGGTTTAAATCTTCAGTACATCTGGAATTTATTTTGGAATAAGGGATGAAGTAAGACTGCAACCTAGCTTTTTTTTTTTCCCCCAGAGGGCTACTTAGTTATCCTAGTAACATTTATTAGGTAATCCATCTTTTAAACATTGATTTAAAATGCTGCCTTCATCAAAGCTAAATTCGCATAAGTATTTGGGATTACTTCTAGGCTTTCTGTCTCTACGTCTAGCATATCTCTGTATTTGCTAGTATCAAATTATTTTGGCTGGACATGGCAGCTCATACCTGTAATCCTAGCTCTTTGGGAGGCTGAGGCAGGAAGATTGCTTGAGCCCAGAAGTTTGGGACCAACCTGGCAACATAGCGAGAGCCCGTCTCCACAAAAAATACATGAAACTAGCCGGGCGAGGTGGTGGGCGCCTGTAGTCCCAGCTACTCGGGAGACTGAGGCAGGAGAATGGCTCAAACCCGGGAGGCGGAGCTTGCAGTGAGCTGAGATCCGGCCACTGCACTCCAGCCCGGGCAACAGCGCGAGACTCCGTCTCAAAAAAAAACATGAATTAGCCCAATGTGGTGACACATGCCTGCAGTCCCAGCTACTTGGGAGTTTCAGGTGGGAGGATGGCTTGAGCCCAGGAGGTCAAGGCTGTAGTGAGCAATGTTTGCACCACTGCACTTCAGCCTAAGTGACAGAGAGACCCTGTCTCAAAAGAACAAACAAAACCAAAACACACACACACATGCACAAAATTGGTTTAACATGACTTTATACTATGTTTTAATGCCTGTTAAGATATTATCACATTTTTTTTTTAAGATTTTTTTCCTTTTTTTTTTTTTGACACGGAGTCTCACTCTGTCGCCCAGGCTGGAGTGCAGTGGTGTAATCTCTGCTCATTGCAACCTCTGCCTCCCAGGTTCAAGCTGTTCTTCTGCCTCAGCCTCCCGAGTAGCTGGGACTACAGGCACAGCCACCATGCCTGGCTAATTTTTGTATTTTTGGTAGAGATAGGGTTTCACTGTATTGGCCAGGCTGTCTCAAACTCCTGACCTTGTGATTCACCTGCCTTGGCCTCCCAAAGTACTGGGATTACAGGTGTGAGCCACCGCACCTGGCCTAAGATTTTTTCCTAAATATTTTTGTGCATTTATTTTTCCATGTAGACTTTAGAATCAACTTGACTAGGGAAAAAAATGGCCTGTTGGCATTTTGACTGGGGTTGGACTAATATTATAAATTAATTTATGAGAAATGACATATCTATAGGTAACATTGAGACTACCTAAGAACTGATTGTAGTTGCACTTAGTTCTTAGTATTCCACAGACTTTAACATTTTTTTCCATATCAGTCTTGCATGTTTCTTAAGTATATTTCTATATATTTAATATTTTTTTGTTTATATCAATTTTTTTCGCTATTATAAACAGAATATAAACTCTTATGACCTGTCCAGTTATTATTTATATATAGAAAAGATAGTGATTTTTTTTAATTGTGGTTTTTGTATATCAACTTTGTATTTACCCATTTCATTAAATTTTCTTACTGTTTTTAATTGTTACAGTGGATTTCTTGTGTTTTCACCTACAAGAAAATGGTAGTTTTATCTTCTTTCTAAATTTTATTATTCTTACCTGATTGGCCAACTCCTTCAAAACAGTGTTATGAAATAGCAGTCGTAGTTGAAATCTTTGTCATACTAGGTTAGTGGTGGTAGTTGAAATATTTGTCATTCTGATTGTCTTTTAATATTATGATACTGGTTTTTGGGTTGGAGTGGAGAGAAATGTTTTACTAGATTAAAAAAGTATCCATCTAAGCCGGGCGCTGTGGCTCACACCTGTAATCCAGCACTTTGGGAAGCTGAGGCAGGCAGATTACCTGAGATCAGGAGTTCGAGACCAGCCTGGCCAACATGGTGAAACCTGGTCTCTACTAAAAATTCAAAAATTAGCTGGGTGTGGTGGTGCTCGCCTGTAGTCCCAGCTACTCGAGAGACTGAGGCAGAATTGCATGAACCTGGGAGGCAGAGGTGCAGTGAGCCAAGATTATGCCACTGCACTACAGCTTGGGCGACAGAGCAAGACTCTGTCTAAAAAAAAAAAAAAAAAACCAGCAATAATCAAAAATAATCAGAGTGTTTAAAACAGCAACAAAAATTCCATGTTGAATATTGGTGAATCTTTTTGAGTACTTAAACATAATTTACCTTTTGCAAATTTATTCAGGGTTATAAATGTTCATTTTTACTTAATGAAGCTATAAATTAATCTCTCTCTCTTTTTTTTTATTGTATAGAAATTTACAGCAACAATGTCAACACCAGATAAGAAAGCTTCACAGAAGATTGGTTTTCGATTACGTAATCTGCTCAAGCTTCCTAAAGCACATAAATGGTGTATATACGAGTGGTTCTATTCAAATATAGATAAGTATGTATCATGGCTTATATTATGAATATTACTTGAATCATAAATTTAAGTTTTTCAAGTGTTTTAAACTACAACATTTTCTATAGGTCTATTTTGATCTTATTTTTACCTGAATTCATTTTTCTATTCCACATTCCAGTTGGATCTATTCTGTTTGTTATAGTTTTCTTCCCCATTATCCTTGTTGGGGAAGAAAACTATACATTTTTGTGAAGAATTGATTAGAGTATAATTTCTGTGTTATAATTTTTAAAGACTGTGGAGTAGCGATACCTTAAAACACCATTATTTGCAATGAATGAGATTCATTTTATAATTGAGATGTTAAGTGTTGGTATAATCATAGAGAAACCATTACTAATGGTAAAAATGGCTTAAGATTTTTAGGAGGGTAGTCTTTCTAGTTTGGATATGGTACTTAAGCACGTTAGGTATACACATATGCTTAAGTATAACATAGTATGAGATTTGACTGAAATACAGTTATTCAACAATGGAATTTACTGAGGAAAAGTTCTTATTTATAATCCTTCCTCATATGCCAGTCATTGCTGCTTGCTCTGCTGGATATTTATGTTTACTTCCCTTCTCTGTTTTGTATACCAGTTGCCTACTCTGGAGCTTGTGAATCTCATGAATGTTCATATGTGAGCCCAAGGCATTGATGTATCATTGCCAACACTGGTTCCTGGTTTCCCAGACTCATGAATAGAATTGTTTTATTTTTGTCCATAGGCTTAAGAGAGTTTTCAGGGTGTCTCAGTGTGATCTGAGTTCTTCTGGGATTCCCCCAAGCTAATCTAACCCTCTAGAGTCCTCCAGTGTCCCAAGACTGGTTTAATTCAAGAGAGGACTCCTTGGTGATGGTATTCCTTTGGGACAAAGATACTTTGTAGCTGCCTTGGTTTATCGTCACCTGATATAAGGCCAGGGCCAGGATAGCCTCCCAAAGGATATATCTGTATAAGAGATTGAACAAAAATCAGTGTCTTTTAGAATCACAACACAAATAATATTTCTTGAGCAACTTTTACACATTAGATGTTTCACAAATGCCAAGGATTTAGTTTTAGCACTTTGAATTTGTGCCAGTTTTTATGTATATGGGGTAGAAATGAAAGTTTAGCATTTTGTGATTTTATGTGTTTTAAGAAAGTAACACATTGTATGTAACCATTAAAATACGATTTCTGTTTTACAGACCGCTTTTTGAAGGTGATAATGACTTCTGTGTATGTCTAAAGGAATCTTTTCCTAATTTGAAAACAAGAAAGTTAACAAGAGTAGAATGGGGAAAAATTAGGCGGCTTATGGGAAAACCACGGAGGTAAAAATAATGTTTTTGTTTTTGTTTAAAATAAAATCAAGCCAGGAGCAGTGCATGTACTTATAATCCCAGTTACTTGGAAGGCTAGGATGGGGTATTTGCTTAAGGCCAGGGGTTCAGGGCTGTAGTATGCTGTGATTACACTTGTGAATAGTCACTACACTCCAGCCTGGGCAACACAGTGAGAACCTTCCTCTAAAAAGAATTAAAAAATAAAATCAATAAATAATAGTTGTTAGTATCATTACTACATTGATTTTTTTTTAATCTTTGAAATGACTAGTACCAAAATATAACTTTTCAGAATAATTGATTATGTATTAAATATATCCTGTTAACCAACTTTAATGTAGGTGCTGTTTATGCTTATGTATCTTATAATTAAATGCACAATTTCATTTTTGTTAGGATCACAGGTTTTGAACATAATTTTTTTGTTTTACATTACCTATGTCCCTCTGTGTTCCAAAAAATACTTAAGAGTGTCCTAAAAAGTATTTAAGGATACTGTAAAGTTCTGTGTACATTTTTGTTATCTTTTGTGAAATCCTTTATCATCTCAGGAGCCTTCCCAGAAATGCCTATTTTACTTTATATAAAAATAGAAGACAAATTTATCTAATATGTTAGTTCCTGAGAATTGCTCTTCATGCGAAATGATTTTTTCTTTTCCAGTGTTATCCTGGTAACACATTGGAAAACCCTATATTACTTTTGAATGAAAATTGGAAATATGTTAGAAGAAGAATTAGATCATTAGTTCTCACATTATGTCTATCTGCCTGGTAAAAAGTATGTGCAAGACTTTTTCATTTTAAATGATGGGAAAGTTCAAGGAAGGTCTGTAAATATAAAGTGATTTGGTCAAATAGAAATGGAATTTAGATTTAATGATCTCTTTAGATGGTGATGAATTACAAAGAGAACTTTTAATTAAACTGCCAATTTGTATTAAAAGATGACCTTGATGGTGATGTTTTTAATATTTCTTATAATAACAAAATTAAAGTTTGGTATGTTATTTAGTGTGTTTCATACTCATAATTTATGGGCTTTGGTAATTACAGTAGGCTATTTGGTGGCTTTTTGCTGTCATTTTGTGTGTTTGAGCAAATTGAGTTACACTATTTCTAATTATTGTCCATCAGAGTGAGATATTGGTCACTATTTACTGTTTTGTCATAATTCTGTAGTTTGGGTGTCATAATATTTCTCTTGTTAATTTATCTTCTATTCTCTTACCATAACATTATTTAATCTTATAGTCCTTTAATTCATCAAGGTTAATTAATAGTTGAAGTCTTTTCTCAATAAAATATGTAGTTTTTCTTTCTTTGAGGAAAGCTAGGTATAATACAAATTACTGATACAGTAAACCTTAAAATAGCTTAATTTGAAAAATCAATTGGTGAAACTCCATCTAGTTGGAAGGCAAAAAGGAAGAAACAAAGAAAGATAAACCACCAGGAAGGAACTTAAGAGGAAATGTGCAAGATACATATGAACAAATGTTAAGACATACAGGATCTTGGAAAAGAAGACTCAGCATCCTAAATTAGTCTATAAGTTAAAATCGGTCCCAATAAAAATATTAACAGGCCTTTTTTGTTTTTGTTGAGACGGAGTCTCGCTCTGTCACCCAGGCTGGAGTGCAGTGGCATGATCTCGGCTCACTGCAACCTCTGCCTTCTGGGTTCAAGTGATTCTCCTGCCTCAGCCTCCTGAGTAGCTGGGATTATAGGTGCTCACCACCACACCCAGCTAATTTTTGTGTTTTTAGTAGAGACAAGGTTTTGCCATGTTGGCCAGGCTGGTTTTGAACTCCTGAACTCAGGTGATCCACCCACCTCGGCCTCCCAAAGTGTTAGGATTACAGGTGTGAGCCACTATGCCTGGCCTCTTTTTTTTCTCTTTTTTTTTTTTTTTAAGTTAGATGAGTTAATTCTAAAATTCACATTTAAGAGGGGAGAAATCAAGCAGGAAAATTCTGAAAAAGCAAAGTAAGAGAGACTCCATTTTAAAGAGCATTTTAAAATAGATTATAAAGTGATCATAATTAAAGCAGAGTAGTAGTGGTGCATAAATAGAAAAAGAATGAAAAAGAAGAAAATCTAGATACAGTCACAGATGTCTATGGGAATTTAGTATAATAGTTGCAATGGTTGCCTCTCAAGTACATGGTGAAGAAGAGAATGGATTGTTGGTTTAATGGAAATCGAGACTACTGTTTAGTAGTCTATAGAGAAAAACAAGTTGTTCTCAGGCCTTACAATATTTGAAAAGGATTGAAGATTTAAATTTTTTTTAAATGAAAGAATAAAACCACAAGAGGAAAACATAGGAGAGTTTTACTTAATCCTGAATTGGAAAAGGCCTTTCTCTCTCTCCCTTTTTTTTTTTTGATATGGGAATCTTGCTCTGTCTCCCAGGCTGGTGTACAGTTGTGCAATCTTGGCTCACTGCAACCTGCGCCTCCTAAGCTCCTACCTCAGCCTCCTGAGTAGAGTAACTGGGACTACAGGCACCCGCCACCGTGCCTGGCTAACTTTTGCATTTTTGGTAGAGACGGGGTTTCGCCATGTCGCTCAGGCTGGTCTCAAACATCAGACCTCAGGCAATCCGCCTGCCCCGGCCTCCCAAAGTGCTGGGATTATGGGTATGAGCCACCATGCCTGGCCTGAAAAAGCAGGCTTCAAACCTAGGAGCCATGAAAGAAAACATTAATAAATTTGACTATACAAAAATAAGAACATTTTACATGGCCAAAAACAAAAGCCCATAAATAGTTGAAAGATAGTGACAGAAATATCCATCACATCTTATTACAGAGAGCTAATTCCCTACTATATAAAGAACTCCTATCAATTAGAAAATGTCAGGTAACCGATAATAAAAATGATTATAAATAGATGATTCAGGCTGAGTGTGGTGGCTCACACCTGTAATCCCAGCACTTTGGGAGGCTGAGGCAAGGAGGACTGCTTGAGCTCAGGAACTCAAGACCAGGCTGGGCACCATGGTGAGACCCCAACTCCACCAAAAAAAAAAGAAATTCAAAAATTACCCGGGCATGGTGGCATTCACCTGTAGTCCCAGCTACTTGGGAGGCTGAGCTGGGAGGATTGCTTGAGCTCTGGATGTTGAGGTTGCAGTGAGCCGTGATCATGCCACTACACTCCAGCCGGGGCAGCAGAGCAAGACCCTGCCTCAAAAATAAGTAAATAAAATAAAAATAAAATTAGCCTGTTGGGTGACACTTGACTGTGGTCTTAGCTGCTCACTAGGCCAAGGTGGGAGGATCACTTGAACCCAGGACTTTGAGACTACAGTAAGTTATGATTGCCCCATTGCACTCCAGCCTGGGCAATAAAGGGAAACACTGACTGTTTAAAAAAACAACAGCAACAGATAATTCATAGGAAAGGAAAAAGAAATGGCTCTTGTAAATATGAAAAAAATTCCATTTTACTCATAATGGGAAATGCAAAATCAAAGTTTGCTGAGATACAGTTTTTGTTTTGTTTTGTTTTGCTTTGTTTTTTTGAGACAGAGTCTCACTCTGTTGTCCAGGCTGGAGTGCAGTAGCATGATCTTGGCTCACTGCAACCTCTGCCTCCCAGGTTCAAGCAGTTCTCCTGCCTCAGCCTCCTGAGTAGCTGGGATTACAGGCACCCGCCACCACACCTGGCTAATTTTTGTATTTTTAGTAGAGACAACGGTTTCACCCTGTTGGCCAGGTTGGTCTTGAACTCCTGACCTCAGGTGATCCGCACACCTCGGCCTCCCAAAGTGCTGGGATCACAGGCGTGAGCCACGGCACCCAGCCAAGATACTGCTTGTAACTATCAGATGGACAGAGTTCATAAAGGTTTTAATGTGTTGGGTTAGTAATGGCATGGTTAGTCATACGTATTACTAGTGAGAGATTAATTTTATATAATCTCTCTGGAGGACAATTTGGTAATATCTATAAAATTTACAAATTTCCATTCCCTTGACATAGCACTTTTAAGAATGTGTAACACAGAACTACTTGCACACAGATGAAATTACATGTACAAAGGTATTTATTGCAGTATTGTTTGTAGTAGCAAAAGATTGGTAACAGCCTAAAAGTCCATAAATGGGGGAATGATTATAGTATGGTACTCCATATAATAGAAAACTGTGAAACCATTTAACATAAAACAAAAACAGAAGACCGTTTCTATGTACTAATAAGGAAACATTGCTATGCTGTGTCAAGAAAGCAAAATATACAACAGTGCATATTGTGGCTATTTGAGAAAAATAGAGGAACATATGCATTTTTTGATTGTATATGTCTAAGGTGTCAACGAAGGATCTATAAGAAAAGTATAATGGCTGGGCACCGGTGGCTAACACCTGTAATCCCAGCACTTTGGGAGGCCAAGGCAGGTGAATCATGAGGTCAGGAGTTCAGGAGCGGCCTGGCCAATATGATGAAACCTCATCTCTACTAAAAATACAAAAATTAGCTGGGTGTGGTGGTGTGTACCTGTAGTCCCAGCTACTCAAGAAGCTGAGGCAGGAGAATTGCTTGAGCCCAGGTGGTGGAGGTTGCAGTGAGCCGAGATCACACCACTGCGCTCCAGCCTGGGCAAAGAGCGAGACTCTGTCTCAAAAAAAAAAAAAAAAAAAAAAAAAAAAAAAAAAAAATTGTCAACTATAGGGAAATAGTATGGGTCCTGGGTTCTAATGTCAAGAAGAGTTTTTTGGTATATTTTTAAAATTGATATATAATAGTTATACATATTTTGGGAGTACATGTATACAATATGTAATGATCAAATCAGGGTAATTGAGATATCTATTACCTCAAACATTTTTCTTTGTGTTGGGAACATTATAATTTTTCTCTTCTGACTATGTGGAAATAGTCAACAAAAAACAAAGTAAAAGAAAAATAAAAACAAGAAATAGTCAATTATTAACTATAATTTTCCTACTATACTGTCAAATACTAGAACTTATTCCTTCTATCTCACTGTATTTTTTTTTTTTTTTTTTTTTGAGACGGAGTCTCGCTCTGTTGCCAGGCTAGAGTACAGTGGCATGATTTTGGCTCACTGCAACCTCCATCTCCTGGGTTCAAGCGATTCTCCTGCCTCAGCCTCCTGAGTAGCTGGGATTACAGGCACACACTGCCATGCCCAGCTAATTTTTGTGTTTTTGGTAGAGATGGGTTTCACCATATTGGCCAGGATGGTCTCAATCTCCTGACCTCATGATCCGCCCACCTCGGCTTCCCAAAGTGCTGGGATTACAGTTGTGAGCCACCACACCAGGCCACAAGTCTGTTTTTATGATACTACTTAGCTTACTAGTAACCCATTATCCTTTGCTTTATCTTCTCATATTCTTCCCATATATACAGCTTGAATCAATATTCAACAAGTTCAGAAATCATACAAAAAGTCATATTATCAGCTAAGATCTATGTGTATTCCAGTCCTTATTCATCATTGCTTACAACAATTTACTTTATACATTGCTTGTCTTTATATCCTTTTTTCTCATCGTGTTTGTTTAGTTTTTGAGACAACTTAAATGACAGTAGAGCTCATAATGTATCTTTGAAAGTGAAAGCCATAACATGGCATGAACATGATGTTTAAATACTTTGCTTCATCCTGGGATTTGAAAATGGAAGCAAGATAGGCTCTAGAAATAAAAGGGAATTCAGCATTTATACTTTTAAGGCAGAAAGCATGATTAAAAGTTTACATAGTAGCAGGTCTCATCTGTAACTCCTGCATTGGTGTGTTTACTGGGTCACAGAGAAAATGTCATGTTCTTTTGGGTAGAATATTGAAATTGAACTTGGTCCCTATGAGATCTAGATTCCAGGCACAATTTCGTCACAGGATGGTGAAAAAATTATTTTGCTTTGTAGGAAGGAATAACCTGCTTTATGTTTTGTTTTTTGAGACCCAGGCTGGAGTGCAGTGCCGCAATCTCGGCTCACTGCAACCTCTGCCTCCGAGTTCAAGCAATTGTCCTGCCTCAGCCCCTTGAGTAGCTGGGATTACAGGCGCATGCCACCACGTCTGGCTAATTTTTGTACTTTAGTAGAGACGGGGTTTCACCATGTTGGCCAGGCTGGTCTCAAACTCCTGACCTCAGTTGATCTGCCCACCTTGGCCTCCCAAAGTGCTGGGATTACAGGTGTGAGCCACCGCATCCAGCTGATTTTAAGTTTTTAATCCCAGCACTTGAGCCAAGGAGGTGGAACCCAGAATCGCTTGAGCCGGAGGTGGAGGTTGCAGTGAGCCAAGATCGTGCCACTGCACTCCAGCCTGGGTGACAGCCAGACCCTATCTCAAAAAAAAGAAGAAAAAAAAAAAAGATTTTAAGTTTTTATATGGGGTAGTTATCAGTTTGTATGCTTTTTATAATTTATTCTAGATGTTCTTCTGCATTTTTTGAGGAAGAGAGATCAGCATTAAAACAGAAACGGCAGAAAATAAGGCTCTTACAACAAAGGAAAGTTGCAGATGTTTCACAATTCAAAGATCTCCCAGATGAAATTCCTTTGCCTCTGGTTATTGGAACGAAAGTTACAGGTAAATGAAAACAAGCTAATTACTCTTTTGACTTGTAATTTTTAATCAAGGTAATCTTTTTTGTTTCTTTGGTTCTTATTTTATTTCATTTTTAATTACCAAGAAATATTTACAATAGACATCGTTAACCCTCACCCTATCCCTATCCCTCACCTCTCTCTGAGCCTGATTGATGCTCAGGGATGGAGTAGGAGTTCTGTAGTACGCATCACTTGATCTTTTTTTTCCTTAGTGACTTTGATTTTTCACTAGGATGTGTTTACACGTACACATGGGACAAAATTCTGAAGGTGTAAGTAACCCAGATAATCTCCATTCGAGAAATGGCTTTTAAATTTAGAAAGCTTAAACTATAGCTCTGTGCAGTTTACAATAGAAGTTATTCTTTCTTCATGCATGAAATCTATTTTTTAAAGTAATTGGGAAAAGGTGTATTGGTTCAAAGTAACATCTACTACAATGTAAACTAAAGCCAACTGCCACAAAGATGAAATTTAATAATCTATTGGAATAAGTATAGCTATGTATTATTTTAAAGTTTGTTTTTGTTTTTTTTTTCTTTTTGAGACCGAGTCTCCCTCTGTCACCTAGGCTGGAGTGCAGTGGCGTGATCTTGGCTCACTGTGGCCTCGACCTCCCGGGCTCAAGCAATCCTCCTGCCTCAGTCTCCCAAAGTGCTGGGATTACAGGCATGAATCACCACACCTGGCCATAAATTTTTTAAATTTTATATTATTCTATATTTTCCTTCTACATTATTTGTTTTCCTTTCCTAACAAGCCTTGTCTGGTTAGTTCACAAACACCATTCTAGAAATAGTCCATTTCTAATGATCGAATAAAACTGAATTATTCACTAGTCTGCTCAACATTTTTAGGGGTGTAAATTTTGTCCATTTTATAGATGTGATTCTGTGTACTCGTAATATGGAGAGAAAGTGCAAAATCTCAGGTTTAAGTTAATCCTTAATTACTTGGTGAAGGCAAATTACAATATATGTAATACAAGAAATAAGGTATTAAGTGGATAGAATAGGCTAGTAATTGTACTGAGTAATTGTAAGTGGACTTCAACCATTGAAAAATGGTCGGAGTAATTCGAGAATAGTTTTTGGAGGGAAGGGAACCTGGAGTTACATATTTATGTCATTTTTCCTGACTATAAAAGTGGTACATGTTTCTATTGTATTGTAAAAATGATTAAGAGGAAATGTAGAAAATAGAGAAGAGACCAAATTATGCATATGAAATCCTAACACAGTTTATCTAGGAGAGACTAGATTTGGTAATAAATGAGTGTATATTGACAACTTACTGTGTAATCAACAGATTATAGATGATACGATCCCTGTCTTAAAACTAGTCAGGAAATAGAGGTGGAAATGGGATGAGATGGGTAGACAGCATATTTGAAAAGTATATTAGTTCTAAAAACTCCATATAAATAACTACAGCAATAAAGTCTAGTATAAGTACTAATGCTGACATACTGATTTATGCCAGAGAAATGCTGACGTGAGTCGAGTGACTCTCAGACTTATTAGAAATCCTTAAAAATTCATTGTTTCAGAATTTTAAGGACTGGTGATATTATTTGACAAGACTGAAAATCTTAGATAGTGTTTTTATATAAGTACTCTTGTTACAGTGGTGAATAGGTTAGACAGGCTGTAGCAAAATGTGAGAAAACTACTAGAGCTGTTTTGTGTGTTGTGTTTTTTATTTTTGTTTTTGTTTTTTGAGACAAAGTCTTGCTCTGTTGCCCAGGCTGGAGTGCAATGGTGCGATCTTGGCCTACTACAACCTCCGCCTCCAGGGTTCAAGCAATTCTCCTGCCTCAGCTTCCTGAGTAACTGGGATTACAGGCATCCACCACCACGCCTGGCTAATTTTTGTAATTTTTTTAGTGGAGATGAGATTTCACCAAGTTGGCCAGGCTGGTTGGTCTCAAACTCCCAACCTCAAGTGATCTTCTGTCCGCCTTGGCCTCCCAAAGTGTTAGGATTACAGGCATGAGCCACTGCACCCAGCCTAGAGCTTTTTTTTCTTTTTCTTCCTTTTTTTTCTTTTCTTTTTCTTTTTTTTTTTTTTGAGACAGAGTCTTGCTCTGTCGCCGGGCTAGAGAGCAGTGGCTCAATCTCGGTTCTTTGCAACCTCCGCCTCCCACGTTCAAGTGACTCTCCTGCCTCAGCCTCCCGAGTAACTGGAACTGCAGGCACACGGCACCATGCCCAACATATTTTGTATTTTCGCCCGACGTATTTTGTATTTTTAGTAGAGACAGGGTTTCACCATGTTGGCCAGGCTGGTCTTGAACTCCTGACCTCGTAATCCACCCACCTTGGCCTCCCAAAGTGCTGGGATTACAGGTGTGAGCCACCGCCCCTGGCCTAGCCTAGGGCTTTTTTAAAGCAATGTTTTACATTTTCTCTTTGGGCTAGTGCAGAGGTCAGTAAACTTATGGCCTGTCGGCCAAATCTAGGCTGCCAACCATTTATGTATAGTTTGTGAGCCTAGAATACTTTTTTTATTTGTAAATGGTTGAAAAAAATCAAAAGAATAATGATATGTTGTGACTTATGGAAATTGTATCAAGTTCACAGGGCCTCCTTAAGGAGTAAACATGCTCTAAGTAAGTTCATAACTGAAACAGACCAACCCACACAAAAAGCAAGTGTGACAGGATCAAAAAGATCTGCCAGTAATTTTTTTTGCCTACAAGAAAAAAATTCAATACCCTATGCAGCATACAATAAAAAATTGCTATACTTGTGGGGAAAAAAAAGACAATTCCATAGTCAATAAAAATGCCATCAATAGAGATAGACTCTGAGATGACTCAGATGTTGGGATTAGCAGACAATGACTTCAAAATAGCTATCATAAGACATGTTCATGAACTTAAATGTAAATATAAATACAATGAACACAGGAAATCTGAGTGAATAAATGGACATTTTTCAGATAAAGAAAATGAATTTAGAACTGAAAAGTATAATATTTGAAAAGAAAAACTTCTGAATGAGCTTAAAAGCAAATTGGAAACAGTAAAAGAATGGGTTGGTGAACTTGAGAATGTATCAGTAGAAATTATCCAAGTATGAAAACAGGTAGGAAAAAAATGAAAAAAAAAAATAGACTCTCAGATCCCCCTGAGACAGTATTAAGCAAGATAACATATGTGTAATTGTGGTCCCCATAAAGACAGAGAAGCATTGGCACATAAAAAATATTAGACAAAACAAAAGCTGAAATTTTTCCAGAAGTATAGATCTACGGTACTCTGAACCCCAAGCAGGATACCCACGTATACACAAAACCCATCATTAGACACAACACAGAAAATCTTCAGCAAAACTCTTAAAAGTAGTCACAGAAAAACAGCATATTATGTAAGAGGAGCACTGATATGGATGGCAGCCAACTTCATATCAGAAAAAATGCTAGAAGTAATGCCAAAAAAGTTCTTCAGACTGAAAGGAACTTTTTTTACATTACATGATATCGTATATAAACTAGAATCTACAGAAAGGACCATAGAACACCAGAAATGAATAAATATATGAATAAAATGAAATTATTGTGTTGCCAAGTTCTTAAATTTTATGTATGAACACACAGTATTAATTTAGTAGAAAGTAAAGGCCAGGCGTAGTGGCTCACGCCTGTAATCCCAGCATTTTGGGAGGCCAAGGCAAGTGGATCACTTGTCTCTACTAAAAATACAAAAATTAGCTGGGAATAGTGATGCACGCCTGTAATCCTAGCTACTCAGGAGGCTGAGGCATGAGAATCACTTGAACCCAGGAGGCGGAGGTTGCAGTGAACTGAGATTGCACCATTGTACTCCAGCCTGGGTGACAGAGTGAGACTCTGTCTCAGAAAAAAAAAAAAGAAAGTAATGTTGAGAGTGAGCATTATAGTTCCTAGCCCATTGTGGCTGAAAAACTTTAGTATGCATCAGAATCAAATCACCTGAAGGGCTTGATAAAACATATTGCTGGGCTCTACCTCTGAGTTTCTGATTCAGAAGGTCTGGGATAGGGCCTGGGAATTTGCGTGTCTGACAAGTTTCAAAGTAATGCTGCAGGTTTGGGAACTGCCTTTTTTTTTTTTTTT